GAGACAAGAGGTATACGTAGCGTCTGGCCACCTTCCTAATCTCCATTCTGTCTTTCCCGCTGGCTACGTAACACTTATAGCATGTGCCGACAGACAAATTTCTCTGAGTTTCACTAGCAGTACTTCGAGGCAGTGGAGGCTCCTCCCGCAGGTACCGGGCCACGCTGGCAGCGATCCATGGATGTAATATACCTGGGCAGCAGCGGAGGCGATCACACCTCGTGCGTGGCTTCCCCCGCCAGCAGTAAATTATTACAGTGGACCCCGTGCAGATTGCACAGGCCTGCCCTGGACTCTGCTGCAGCTATGGGTGAGGCATAAGTTTGTGCTAATACTGAGGTAATGAATGTTCAGTCAGTTGCCCGCGCAATCGGCCGCCATCGATTATCACACTCTCCACACACACCATCCAGTTTGCCGTGCAAGATCTGACCGATACGTCTGCGAACGACCAACGCATACACCAAAAGCCAAGTGCATACCGATGGAGGTGAACACAGCCTCGCCTGGTCAAGAATAACCTTCTTGTCCATTTATTGACGGCATTCCCGTCAGCGGCCTCCTGGACAAAGGTCGATGTCGGTGGCGGACCATGCGATACACGCTCTGTGCTAGTTGAGTTGGCTGCTCAGCCTTCAAATTGTGGCTGTTACTCGAACCCACTAGAAGAAGACCCATCCGGGTCCAGGAATCACGCCCAATCCCATGAGGCTGTCCTTTCCAAGTCCAAAGCCCCCCAATCCCGAGCTTGTGGCCTCCCTTTTTGCCTAAAACAACGATCATTGCGCGCTCGTGGTTGGCTCTCTAGCCGCTGACCAGTACCTCCCCCACACCCAAAAAAAGGAACGCCGGTTGGCCCATCCAACTTGGATGGGCTAGTGTATTGTAAGGTATTTATCGAGTCTCGGTGTGAGTCCCTACATAAGTAAGTATGCAAGTCTGTCTGCCTTGCCATGAAAAGCTGCTGCTGTAAGGCGACAAGAAAGATGGCAATATTACGCGTATCCACGCGAGACTTTGCGTCTATATTCACCGGTCATCGACAATGGAGCATCCTCCAAGGCGTCGTTGTAGGCCATCGTCTCTCGGCAATACCGACGTGTGACTTCATTTCGACGCCTTCAAGGCCGGTGTGAGTCAATGCAAGGAGGGGGGACGCCAAAAGCGAAAGGAAGAAGAGAAGAAAAGAACGAGAGAGAAGATTTGATGCAGATAGATCGGCGACGTGTTGGGTCATCGTCACGGGAAAACCATGGTCTGCCAATTTGAATCACCAACATGGCGTGACGAGCCTCAGGATCAGGGTGGAGATGTGTAAATCGATTTAGGTATCCAGACGGAACAATAGAACAATCGATGCTAGTGCCTAGTCTCCCGCCGAGTAGCTCATAACTAGCACTGCCTAGTAAATTGCTTATCCCTGGTCCCCTAGGCACACTTGTCGCCCCTACACTAAGAGGGTCAAGTATTAGACCAAAGGAGAAGAATATAGCGACAGAGCTTTCCTGATCCATGATTCACAACCAACAGACAACCTGCTCTAAGCCCCCACACATCCATCCCAACGCAAAGGTTCTGCAACGCATTCAATCTCAATTCACGAGTCATCTTGCCCATTGGAACCGGTTTCGCACGTAGTCGAGCCAATCAGACTACTCGTAGATAGAAGCCTGATGCCGGGCACGATGTAATCGAGCATGAGGACTGATCAGGCTGCATGTAAGTCTAGTCAGCCTCCTTTCTTCTATGGCGCTAAGCGACGTCATGCATGTTCAATCCACCAACTTGTTTTCTAAACTGCCGGTAGGCCATCTACGAACGTCTCGGCGAACCCAAAAGAATTACCCCAAGGCCTTGGTGAACAACACAAGAATGAAATACGGGCCTATCAGAGGAAAAGATGCCTTGACGGCCCCGAGACGGCCCCGGAATATTTGGGACATGTCCATTCGGTCATCTGACTTCGAATTTCCTGTTGGGTCCTCCATAGGGCGAAAATGGGGTCCGGGGCTCTAATTTAGGACCAACTCCATCTACCAACAGACACATATGTCACGTTGGCTCGTGAACACCGACCCGGTATCTGGTGGAAGTACAAGCCTCAGACTAAAAGTTGGCTTTAACATGTTGCTTTCCGTTATGGAACGCCAGGACGGTGTCCTTTTAGGGGCTGTTGAAGCTCAACGGTCAACTGAGTATTACTCACTTCCAATTCGTATAAATGAAGATGAGCTCGCCATATCCTTCTGGACTTGGCCAGACATGCACAGCAACAATAGCAGCGAGCTTATTGAATACCGGCAAAGATCAAGATCTTGACGTGAACTGAACCCACAAGGCTGCATAAGCGAAAAGAAGTTGAGCCAATACAGCAACTATGACTGACGACATCCCCCTCAGCCTCCCGCTGCCACGCAACTATGGCAAGGACGAGTGGATCTTTCGGTTTACCGAGGACGACAAGGAAGAGATCAGAAAGGCTCTGCAGCATTTCAAAAGTGAGCCAGTCGGATTTCAGAAGCGGGAAAGTGTTCTAGCGGCTAATCATGGCACAGGTTTTGGTCTCGAAGTGGAGGAGGTCAACCAGGGATCCTTCCCTCTCCCGACCCTTTCTCAAAAACTCGAGAAACTCGCAAACGATTTGCACGACCCTCGACAAGCGTTCTTTGTTCTCTCCGGCTTGGAAATCGATCAATACACGGTTGAGGAGGCTACTATCATCTACCTTGGTGTAGCAAGCTATGTCGCGGATCAACGCGGGGCGCAAGACGGGGCTGGAAATATGTTGAGTAAGTGAATACCTCTTGGTGTGGCTAATTGGTTCAAATAATGGATACTAATAATGATACTAGCTCATATTACCAGTTCGAAGCTTTGGAACGTCCCTGAGTCGGTCCGGCATGGTATTCACTCAACCAAAGCCTTGGTATGTGCTATTTCGCTCTCTCATCGTTAAGTCCTAAATCTGACTTTTTCTAGCCTTTCCATAACGATATGGGAGCCGATATCCTTGCTCTTTTAGCTCGGTCAACTGCGGGACATGGGGGCAACACTTACCTTACCCATGTCACAACCGTGTACAACAAGCTCACGGACGAGGAGCGCAGGGTCCTCCTCGAACCTAATTGGCCAGTTCAGACGTAAGCAACTCTCATATAACCGCAACCTCTATCCGAATACATCATGAGCTAACTTCTGGTTTCTCTCCAACAGTTCCGGGCGACTTGAGCGCTTCTACCTCGGGCAAGCCCTTGCCTTCCACGACGGCCGGCTTATGAGCAGCATGGATCCTCATCGATTTGGACCCCACCCCAAGGCCGACCCCAATACGAAGATTCCGAAACTCACTGAAACTCAGAGACGAGTCCTTGACCGTGTTTCCGAAGTTGCCCAATCCGCCGAGATTAAACTGAGTCTTAAGAAAGGAGATATGTTGTTCTTCAATAATTGGGCAGTTATACATCGACGCGATGCCTATCAGGATGGCCCAGACAACTCGCGGCATCTTGTACGACTTTGGCTTCATAACCAACGCTTGGGCTGGAGCATTCCGGCAACCATGCTTGAGCCATGGCTTAAGGCCTATGGCGGGAGGTTCAACAACGGCCTGTACGCTTTGGACCCAGCCGCCGTGTACAAAATCCCAAAGTACTCAGCAGGTTCTGCTGCTTTCGTCCTGGACGATTAACTAGCTTGTCCCGAGAATTGTTTAACTGGCTGGTCCAGTTACTGCTCGACAATCCCGGCAACTGTTTTCGTTCGCCCTATACCTTTGCTTTCGTCGCTTTCCTATGTTACCCTAGACCAATACCCTCACCGGGGCTCGATTTGCGCTATTCCTTGTTCTTGACAGCGAGTTATTATTTTCTTGGTCAGGTTCTGATCTGGTGTATAGTGGGATTTGTATTCGATTTTGTTCCTCTTTTGTTATAGCAGGGCTGTTTACTTTCTTCGCGTCTTGTTTTCGAAGAGCAAGTTCGCCAGTACAAAAGTACCATGTTTGTTTGTTTAACTGAGTGTGCATGGAATCACACAATTTAAAGCTTTTATTCACCGATTGAACAACTCGATTTCTAAGTGATTGCTCGATACTCCAAATAAGCCTTCATGTGACTAATGGCGGTGGTTTTCTTCACAGAGAGAATGGCATACCCTAAGACTTCTGAAAGTTGAGGTTGGCCTTGCTCGGGAAAGTCTAGTTAAGTTTTAGGCATACCTGGGTCAAGGTAATCCAAAATGATGTCTCCTCTAGCACCGTGTTCCTCAAATTTATCTTTTCATCGTAGATGAAGGTTTCGAAACTCTAACACAGCCACGCACGGCTAATGTTCCTGCGAACCGGGGGATCAAATAGTATCGACAGCGACTCGCAATGACGAAGAAGCTCTCGAATTTGCGAATACCGAATGAAATGCATTTCTTTCTCATTAAATCATCTGTAGTCTAATTGAATGGCGGATTCATTGCTATAATGTTGGGCGACTTGATGCAAGGAAATTACACATACTTAGGTTGGGGTCCCAAGCTAAATTACTCTTGGCTTCATCTTGGACGTAAGTATTTCCTGGTGCATATAATGCTTTTTTTTCACACCCTAAAAGAGTTTAGGGTTGCTTTAAGATCAGGCTACGCCCGTGCTTGCTCATAAAGTTTCTTTAAAAACACAAAAAAAAGGTATGTCCAGTAATACACAAACCTACAACACCAAAAAAAGTTAAAAACTACCTCAGCACATGTAGCCTAAGCACAGGCATCAGCATCTCAAAAACTTTAACAAGGGTTGGCCAATATATAACTCGGCCATCTCCCCTAAGAGAGGAAGCCCATCACTGCATATCAGTACAGCTAACAGATGTTCAGGGTAGGCTGCAGAACAGAAAGCGTGGTTTGAAACATCACGTGATTATACCCACACCCCGCCTTCGAGATCAGGAAAAGTGTTAAGCCGGTCCGAGTATCCTCCAGAGAAATTGCCACACCACTACACTAACTTCTCTAGCCAAATCACGGTTTCTTGGGACGTGTATTTTTCATCCTTTTCATCACAACACAGAAATAACACCAGCAAGATGTCTTGGAGACACCAAGGAATTACCGGGTCGAACAACATCCCCTTGGGGAGCCGCCGCCGCTTCGGAGGTGACGACGAAGAACAGCCCGAAACGAGCAGCGTTGACCTGAAGCGTGGACGCGACCCCGAACCTCGAAGCGAAGCAGATGGCCCGCGCCGCCGCAAGAAGCGAAATCGATGGGGCGATGCATCCGAGAACAAGGCTGCTGGCTTGATGGGTTTGCCGACCGCTATCATGTCGTCCATGACGAGTGAACAGTTGGAGGCGTATACCCTCCATCTCCGAATTGAGGAGATCAGTCAAAAGCTTCGCATCGATGATGTTGTTCCTGCTGATGGCGACAGGTATGCCCTTTCTGTTCCTGAATATGATCTTTCTGCGTTTTCCCACGTACTAATTTCTTGTTTTTTTAGATCTCCTTCTCCCGCACCCCAATACGACAACCATGGCCGACGTATCAACACGCGAGAATACCGATATCGAAAGCGACTCGAAGACGAGCGCCACAAGTTGATTGAGAAGGCGATGAAGACGATTCCTAACTACCACCCACCCCAGGACTACCGCAGGCCAACCAAGACCCAAGAAAAGGTCTACGTGCCTGTCAATGACTACCCGGAAATTAACTTCAGTATGATTGCTAACCCTAACCATGACTCCCTCCTAACCCCTCTAACCTCCCTTCTACCTTTCTGGGAGTCTGATCAAACCCATCTCTCCATGTGTTTCGATCAGGCTGGTCCTTTATATGAAAGGACGAATACCTTTATTTTGACTTAACAGATACTAACACTCAGGTTTCTCCTCAATGAAGTTGGCTTACTTATCGGACCCCGTGGTAACACATTGAAGAAGATGGAAGGAGATTCTGGTGCTAAGATTGCCATTCGTGGCAAGGGCTCCGTCAAGGAAGGCAAAGGCCGCTCTGACGCTGCCCACTCTAGCAACCAGGAGGAAGATCTCCACTGCCTGATCATGGCCGACACCGAAGAAAAGATCAACAAGGCAAAGCAGCTTATTCACAATGTGATTGAAACGGTACGTGTTCAAGTCCAAAACCATCTTTGTTTCTCTCTAACCGTTCGCAGGCTGCTTCTATCCCCGAAGGACAGAACGAACTCAAGCGTAACCAACTTCGAGAACTTGCTGCCCTGAACGGTACCCTCCGAGATGATGAAAACCAAGCTTGCCAGAACTGTGGCAAGATTGGACACCGCAAGTATGACTGTCCTGAGCGACAGAATCTTACAGCTAGCATCATTTGTCGTGTCTGTGGTAATGCTGGCCACATGGCCCGTGATTGCCCTGAGCGACAGAAGGGTGCTAACTGGCGTAACAATGATGGCCGCCCCAACGGGAGACCAGGCGGCGGCGATGCTGTTGACCGTGAAATGGAGGTATGTCTTTCCCCCGTTATCCCTCACTTTTGCAGATCAATGATTGACATCTTCAATAGCAACTCATGCAGGAACTTGGCGGCGGCTCTGCCCCTGCCCAGATCGAAGCAGGCCCTGGAGCCTACAACGACCGAGGCGGCGATGCCAAGCCATGGCAGCGTGGACCTACAGGCGGTCCTGCTCCTTGGAGATCGCGCAATAACGACTCTAACAATAATGGTTCAGGTTCAGGCTCAGGCTCTGGCTCAGCGGCGCCATGGGCCAGAGACCGCAACGACCGTGGGCGAGACAACCAGAACAATAACAACTACTATGGCCAGGACTACAACCAAGGCGGATATGGTGGCTCTTCAGCTGCTCCGCCTTGGCAACAACAAGCGCCCGGAACACAAGGTGGATACGGTAGCTACCCCGGATATGCTGGCTACAGTGCCGCACCTGGCATGGGAGCTCCTCCTGGTCTTGCACCGGCTGGGGCCTCAGGTCTCCCTGCTCCCCCAGGTTTGGATGCCACTGGTTTGAACTCACTCATCCAACAATACGGCGGAGCTGTCCCTCCCCCTCCCCCAGCAGGAGATGCCCCCCCACCCCCTCCCCCAGGTGATCACCCACCACCTCCCCCTCCAAGCGACCAACCCCCGCCGCCTCCGCCTCCTGGTGCTTAAACTTGCTAGTATAAGAGACCGACGTAATGGTCCTGCGTCGTACTACGTTTACTGATGGCTGGAAATTAACCGGGGCAGGAGAATTACTGACATTTCAGTCGCCTTTGTATTTCTGTTTTCATTCTCATCGGACCCTAGATTGTTAATAGGCGGATACTACTGACACAGCCATTTGTATCTCCGAACTGATCGTGGTGGCATCTATTCCACTTACCAGATGAGAATTTCCTTTCTAACAAGAACTGCCCTCGTGGCTGGGGATCCTGCCCTACCCTTAGCTAGTACTTTAACTTGAAACTTTCTGATCTAACCCTGGGATGATGCCCTTGTTGCCTTGGTAGTTGGGCGTTGATGTCTAATATGAGACGTCTTTCTGCCTCACTTTACTTACGCAACTTGGATCAGTGCCAGTACCAAACAACGCGATGACTTCCTGATCTTAGGTCACTACTAACGAATGAGAATATAGAATTTAGTGTGTAGATCCTGACTAGTTGAATGTAGTGCAAATACAATGAATGTATTGACATGGTCGCTTCGGTATTTGTCTGGATGAGGCACGCACCGAACAGCTTGTAGAAGAGAGTGTGAGGTAGGGGTGATGTTACGCATCGCTTACCCGAGTGATCCTGTGTCTGATGATATCATCCCTAATGCTACTACGAAAATCCATCCTTTCTTGCGAGATTTTCAAGCCCGTTGAGCTACTGGGGCATATTGCGCGGAAGGCTGTGTAAGCACATACGTACGCTGGTTGTCACGCATTGATTACCTTGGTCTGTCCTGCCACTTTCCGGGTGAGGTGCCTCTAGGTAGGCATGCGAAACTGAGACGTTTCGTGATAGACAGATGGTGCCAGCTGAGGCGGAGCTTTGTAGAGAAGGGAGCAATGACAAATATTACTGTGCCCTTTCTTCTCAAAGAGGTATTAATTGCATGAGCATCGTGGTGTAGTTGACCTGTAGGTCTGGCCGGAAGCAGCTCTGAGGGGTTGGTTGAAAGCTTAATTCTCAGGGACGGACCTTGACACTGTCATGAGGCTTAACTCAATGTCCACCCACGATGCTGAAATATTCCTCGCTATTGGGCCTTTGTAGAGAGCGAGGCTTGTGCCTTTGCTGGCGCTATCCATGAGCTGTAGGTTTATGCATGCATTGATCTCACCAGTGGCCAGATCGCCTCCGCTGAGCTTGACCCGAAGACTAGCGGCGTCGGTCCCCTGTAAGAGCTCATGCTGGTGCTGTGGTGGGGCATCTGGGGGCGATTCCCTTGATGGAGTTTGGGGGTTGTTAGGGGGAGCCCCAGCCAAGGTAAGGCCGTCCGAGTCAGCAGTCATCAGCCCTCATTGGACAATGCCCGGCTTGATCTTATCACCATTGGATTTCGTACATATCTCGTCAGCCCTCCTGGGTTAACTGCGCCTTTGGCCTCGTCTGTGTCTCCTGCCTCCTGCTCGTGTCGACTCCTACACCCCGTCGCGCCTTCATTCTCTGGAGGAGGCGCTGTTGACATCAATTACTTCGTCCTCATTCCTTTGAGGTAGCTCCCCTCGGGGTCCGTTTCATGACGCGACCTCCACCAGCACTATCGCCATTTCAGCTTCATCCCAAGCGCGCTTCCCTTGAATCTCCTCATCGCTTTTCTATATTCCTTTGCTTCTGGAAGCCGTCCGCCACCCTTGCCTCGTCACCAACTTCCTAGAGACGCCAAGTTCCAGGCATGCCAGCATTATGAAGTGCCAGAACCCCTTCTCCTTCAAGCCCTTGCAGGTCACCTTTTGGACCACGGTCACATACCTGGCCCTCTTCATCCCGCTCATCTATGTCCACGAGCATGTCCCGGCAGCCCCGTCGGATGGGACCTTCTATCGCGGTCCCGATGGCATCAACTTGACGGAGGCATGGCAGCAGCTTCAAAAGATCACGGAGCACTTCCACCCCTTCAACAGCCACCAGAATGATGACGTGCGCCAGTATCTGATCGACCAGTCCAAGTTGATCCTCAAGAGAAACAAAATCGCATTCTCGGTTGACAAGTGCGATGGAACCCCAGCCACACCGGAAAATCAATTGGACGATGCGCCAGCTCCCCAGTCCGAGCTAGTGACCCTGTTTGACGATAAAACCGCCAACGTCACCAAGGTGCTAGGGAAAGAAGGCGCATCGTATTTTGAGGGCACCAACTTCTACATTTATATCCGAGGCGCCGAGGATTCTGATGGCGATTGGTGGAACTCGGAGTCTTCTCACAAGAGAACCCATAGAAAGGGCGGCGTGCTCGTCAACTGTCACTTTGACTCGTATGTTGAGAAGCTATCGCGACGCTCGTGAGAGATGCGCTAACGAATCCTAGGGTTTCCACCGGCAAAGGTGCTACTGACGATGGCATTGGTTGTGTTAGCATGCTTCAGCTCCTGAGCTACTTCACCATCAAGGGCCATCAACCCAGGAATGGAATCGTCCTGTTGTTCAACAACGTCGAAGAAGATGGCCTTCTCGGCGCGGAGGCATTTGGTCAGAGCCCACTCTCGCAATTTGCCCATACCTTCGTCAATCTCGAGGGAGCTGGAGCAGGCGGGCGCGCTATTCTCTTCCGCGCTACCGATCTTGAGATCAGTCAGGCGTATGGTAAAAGTCCTCATCCGTTCGGCTCCGTTATTGCCGGGGACGCCTTCAAACGCGGTGCCATTAAGAGCCGGACCGACTACGGAATCTTCAACGACGTTTATGGCATGCGAGGATTGGATATTGCTTTCTACGCGCCGAGATCACGGTATCACACCAATGAGGATGACACTCGTCACACCTCGGTTGATAGTGTCTGGCATATGCTCTCTGCCGCGTTGGCCTCCACTGAGACACTCTCACAGACCACGAGCACGAAATTCCATGGCGACCGACCCGATGGTGACCAGGACAAAGTTCAAAGCGGATGGCCTACGGACGGCGTGTGGTTTGACTTCGTGGGACGGGCCTGGGCGACTTTTGCGCTTAGAGGGCTCTTTGCGTGGTCTTTAACCCTTCTTGTCGCGGCCCCTTTCGTGCTGCTTGTTCTCACTTACCTATTGTGTCGCAAAGATAAGTATTATTTCTTCGCTGGTGATATCAAAATTCACTCGGAGCTTAACGAGGATCCGGTGCGGATTGGTGGCTGGAAGGGATTGCTCCGGTTTCCGATAACCTTCATCATCGCTACTGGAATAACATTCGCTTTCGCCCTTTTGGTTGCTAAGGTCAACCCACTGATCGTTTATAGCAGTCCCTATTCTATGTACGTCCCATCCTGCTTGCTCTCATTACTCCTTGATCATTGTCTTTATGTATCCTGTGGCTGACCTGTTGATAGCTGGGCCATGTCTCTCTCGATCTTCTATTTCGTTTTTTGGCTACTTCTGCGAGGTTCTAGCTTTGTTCGACCAACCGCACTTCAGCGAGGGTTTACACTCGTCTGGTTGTTTGCCATAGGCTGGGGGGTACAGGTGCTGGCCGCTGTCGCAGAGGATCGACTGAAGCTGGGAGGATTCTACTTCACAGTGTTCCTACAGACTGCTATTTTCGTGGCGCTCTTTATATCCTTGGCAGAGCTATTCGTCCTTCCATCTAAGAGGGAGTTTGCCAACCAAATTCATGATACGCACATCGCTAGGGATCATGCACCACCAAATCACGGCGAGGAGGACAACCGGGCAGCGTCTGTTTCTGCAGAGCATCAACATGACGACGAGGCTGGGGAGCAGGAAAATGAGGATGAGACAGCTGACGCGACGGAAACGACACCTCTCAGAGCTGGCGAACAAGGCTATGGGTCGAACAACCAAACTACATTTGCCAGCACTTACAGGCAATCCGTTTCCCTTCCATCGTCAGAGCCTTCACCCAAGCCTCGGCCCCAACCATATGGCCACGAACAGTCGTGGTCAGGACACCTGCCAAATTGGACTTGGTTTATCCAGTTTATCGTCCTAGCTCCCATCCCAGTGTTGATGATTGGGAATGTCGGCCTACTCGCAATGTCAGCATTGGGAAATACTGGCACTGATGGTGGCAGTCTACTTGTTCCCATTTTGGCCATCTCAGCCGTGTCCACCGTGCTGCTGCTCCCTATAACCCCCTTCATTCACCGTGTCACGCACCATGTACCTCTATTCCTATTGTTGGTATTCATTGCAACTCTGATTTATAACCTTGCGACCTTCCCTTTCTCGGTTAACAACCGATTCAAGTTTTATTTCCATCAGGTTGTCGATTTGAACGATAATACCAACACAGTTTCACTCTCCGGTCTGAACCCGTTCATTCACAATGTTGTTTCGAGTTTGCCAAGCACCGCCAATCAAAAACTCAACTGCAACCCGGGAGGAAGAGGGAAAAACTCGCATGTATGCCGCTACGATGCATCTTCTTTGCCTCTGAACTTAGTGAGCGGTGTGAAAGTAGAGGAACTCCTCAAGGTTACAGTCCCCGAGACCTATGATGGGTCATCCGTTGACGTGGTGGTCGATGCTGTCGACACACGTCTCTGTTACCTGGAGAGTTCCATCCCCATTTCGGGATTCACACTTGAGGGCGCAGGGCCTTTACAGGAGCGCTTCGGAGGGAAGATACAAGACAGTGGTGTGAAGAAGATCGATTTATGGCGACGGGACCGGAGCCGGCCCTGGAAATTGAACCTGAAGCTTAAAGCTAAGGAGCTTTCAGAGGAGACCAGCGAGCATGAAGATCCAACAACGAACGACCGAGACGAGCTCAAACTCCGAGCCGAGACAGATGCTCTCGCAGATGATTCATTGATTGTGACGATTCGCTGCGCATACAGCGACGCAAATGAGCCTACGACAATCCCAGCCCTAACCGAGCTTCATCGGTACATGCCCCCGTGGGCCACAGTCACCAAATTTTTACCAGGACTCGTGGAGATACAGAAGAATTTCACAATACAGAGCGCTGGTGGCCAGGATTGAAAGTCGTTTTCAGTACACAGAGATGTTTTCCCTTTATGCG